GGTGTTTTGACTGTAATGTCCAAAAATTTTATACTAGGAATTTAAGACCAGAATAAATTTTATGTAAGATTATAATTATAAGTTATATTATCATTTCAGGCAATTAAAAACCGAATCCACAATTGTAAATTAAACTGAGTGCATTTCATCACCTGGACTCAATTAAAAATTCCAAAGACACCAGAATCGAGTTCAAAAGTGATGAAATGGCACACTCAGCATGCCCCAATTACTCAATACTAAGATTCGCGCGCGAAGGAACGATTGAAAACCGATTAATTAAGACCCCAAAAACCGAATGAACTACTTCCCCATAAAAATCAAAAGAGTGGGAAAAGTCATACGACATTTTCCACCAATTAAAAATGGACTCGTTGGAGCCCATGTGACAAGTGACCCCAAAATTCATATAAAAATGTCAGAAAAATCAAAATTAAACAGTCTTAAAGCAGCGACGGAGCAGTAACACTTCTGGTAGAAATAGTTCATATAATCGGTCCGGTTTTTCAATCCTTCCTTCGATTACGCGGGATAGTGCTGAATTAATGGTAAGTTACGAACAATTGAAATTATCCGGGAATAAAATTTCTTTAACCGAGAGTGGTGACTTTTCTTACAAATAAGGAATTCGTTTATTGTGACGCGTTGTGGACATTCTCAACCAAACCCTTAAAATCTTCAAATTCAACTGCAAAAATTCATTAAAATATCAACGAGTAGAAGAAAGTATTTCCGTGAAAATATCCATAATAGCCTTTAGCGCGACTAATTGCTGGTGAGGAAATTACGGATTTATCCAGGGATCTACAAATACATCGAATAATTTATAAATAACAGACCGAATTGTGAGTAACAAAAATTTGTAAACCTAAATTTGAATCCTTCAGATCATTCCAGGGATAGGAATTTTAGCTACATGGATTTCTGTAAAATCACGCTTATGTTTTTGTAAACCGAGTAGTTATACAAAATATATTGAAATTCAAATTTGATTCCCATTACAACTCTAAATTTCTTGATTAGAAATTAGTCTCAACTCAAGCCTTATCCCTAAATCAAACCCTTTTCCTTTATATTTTAGAAAAAGGTAAGAGTATAAAACTTTGCGTCGTCCAATAATTATAAAATTCAATAATTTTAGCTTTGATTTCAATGTGACAATTAAAACATATCCATTCGACGCTAAAATCCTTCTCTGGACATAACATGACCAATTTGCGAAATTTCCAAAAGAAAAAATTAAAAATAACATAGATCCAGGAAGATGCCCAACTTGAACAACGGCTCAAAATACTTGTTTTGATTATGAGAATTACTGGGAAAAAAGTTGAATATCAACCGTGACGTAATTTGCAAAATTCAAGTTTTTCAACTTTTTTTCCGCGAAAATTGGCTATTATGAGCACTGTTATGTCCAAATTATTCCCAGGCTAAAATTCCCCTTCAAACCCTCCCCCAGCTCCAAAACCCAAGATAAACAACGGCGTATAAGAATCAAATTTACAAAAACATATTATGAACAATTAAACAAAGGGCCACACAATTAAGTGCAGAGGACCAAAATTGTTCTCCTGGATGACCAGAAACGTTGAGCCCTCACACACCCCGTTTGANCAGAGGACCAAAATTGTTCCCCTGGACGAAACAGAAACGTTGAGCCCTCACACACCCCGTTTGGACCAAATAAAAAATCACCACCAATCTAGAAAAGAACATAAAATACATTTTAAATTAATTTTTTCGGCACAACCGATGTCGAAATTGCCGACAGGCAATTTCAACATCGCGCTAAATTCCTCAGGCCACCTCAAAGTCCAATGAACAGGTATTCCACGTCGAATTTTCATCATAAAACTTCCAAATCACCAACCCCCACCCCATAAAGCCAACGCCTAAATTCAAAACTTAAAAACTACAATTGACAAAATTAAACCTCAGTCGTGGAAAGCCCGGAGAACGAATATGTTCTCCAATCTTCGGTAATTCGGATTTTTCGGTTACAAGTCGGAGAAAGTCAATCTTTCGTCATAGCTCCAAACAGAAATCTGTGAACTGGATTTCGAGGGTGGTCTCCTGAGTGCTGACGAACGCTACCGAGAGTTGATCGATTTTGGAAATTCGGAAATTTGAGTTATCAAAAACCCCTCGTCAAAATTAACGAGAATTTTCACATTCTCTAGTATCGTAGAAAGAAGAGATACACTCTTTTGGCTTTAAAATCACGCGTACGAACCAATAAGGCCTTCGCGACTCCAGAGGCCTTATGGTACAAGTGTGTGTGTATTTATACACAATTCGAATCCTTAATTTAAAAATACTAAAGAACATTGTGAACTGAAAAATACTTTAAAAAGAGAAATTGTAATAAGTGTCTGGGACGATATTTCCATCTATTTGGGATTACATCTCCAATAAGCAGAAAACCTGTAAGTAAATCCTAAGTAAAATATTGTTGTAAAATTTGAACTTTGTGATTCGCGGAAAATCAATCAAATTGAACCAACTTCAAATTTCCCCTGACATTGTAAACTTGGATTAACTGGTTAAAACAAACAATTAAAGGTGTTACACATTCGAGAAATTCGCTTAAATCATTTCAAATATCCCTTCGGAATAGGAAATCTGAAATTTCCGGTCCCATTAACTAAGAAGAAAGCAAGGTAAGAGTGCAGAATAAACAAATTGCTCATTAACACTCGGAAAAACGCGATAAGAAACATTTTATCGCACTTTATTTTTATTGTTAATCAAGGAGTTCTTGATACCTGATCCATTAGAGTCCAACGAATGAATTCAACGGATAAATCAGTTTAGAAACTCAGGATTTTCCCGCCTGAAAAATCCTTCGGACATAACAGCATCTAGGAATCGAAAAAAAAAATTACTAAAAATAGTGGTATAGGCAGTAAAAAATGGAAAATTTTGACGCTTAAATAAATCGAAATTGGACAAATAGAACTCGAGTTATTGGAAAAAACGAAAAAATGTGAAAAAAATCACATCTCCGAACTGGGCTGCCGAAAAAATCTGAAAACATTTGAGGGATAGTTTTTCAACCTTCCCGATCGTAGAAAAATCACCATTAATTTCCAAGAGGGTGAGGGTCAGCGATTGACTCATTTGACGTAGAATACCTCATATACAGGGTGTCCCATTTGAAAAAATGCACCCAAATATCTCCTAAGGCGGGCGAGTAACAAAAAAATGTTCGAAATAAAAATTATATGGTTCCGAGGGGGACATTTGATATAATCATTATTTCGAGCTTTCAAGCTCATGCTTACAAGCTGCAAGCACAAAGTTCTTTTTTCAAATGGCAACCGCATGTTTCACTCCAATAAAACTTGTTCATCTTGATGAGTTGTTTTCAAACACCTCGTCGTTCATGTAATTTCCTCTAATTATACTCGAAAAATGCCACAAAAAAAAGTTCTGTGGTCAAATTGAAGTTTCAGACTTTTTTAGCTGGACCCAGGATACACCACGTGTAGGTAAAATCTGCTTCGCATCTCTTGCGCTAAAAAAAAGAAAAAAATAGCGCGAACGTGTAAAACAACGCGAGCGAGTGAAATATCGTCAATTTCACTAGCTGAATACATCTTGATGTGTTCAATGAAATGATACTAACTCGATTCTGGTTGAATTGGTACTGATAACAAAAAAAGAATTCTAGAAGGACTAGAAGAATTTTTTGTTTATTTGTTACATTTGATAATTCCGGTTGATAAACAGGTCAACGGAACAATTACACCAAGGTGCGCCAAGGATGTTTGAATCTTCAATTTGACCACACAACTCTTTTTTGTGACAGTTTTGGAGCAAAATTAGGGGAAATTACATGAATAACGAGGTATCTGAAAACAACTCATCAAGATGAACAAGTTTAATTGGAATGAAAAATGCGGTTGTAGTTTAAAAAAAAGCACTTTGTACTTGCAGCTAGCAAGCATGAGCTTGAAAGCTCAAAATAATGAATGCATCGAATGTCCCCCTCGAAATCCTATAATTTTTGTATTGAACCTTTTTTTGTTACTCGCCCGCCTTGGGAGATATTTGGTCGCATTTTTTCAAATGGGACACCCTGTATATCAGCACAAAAAGGTATAAAACTGTAAAAGTATAAATTTTCTAACCCGGATTACAGGGTTGGTAGGCCGACGCACTGCCACTCGGCTATATATGTTAATTATGTAAATCTACCCTTAGGTCTTTCGTGTGGAACACCACTTCAAATAGATGAAGATTGGATGCTGTCGCTGTTCGACATTAGCGGGCCTCTCCGTGTAAGCTCCACGCCCGGTATAAAATTCGTATTTCTCAAGAAATTTTCGGCATACAACATGGCTGACTTGGTCGCCTACTAAGGTCTCTCCATCATTAAAAATATCTAATCCTGAAGATTATTTGAACTTTAGAAATGTCTGACTCTTGTGATCCACAATAAATACCCCCCCCCCTCCCTCTTTTCACTAACCCGTTGAACGATATCTGCAAAAATCCAAATTCATTGGCCCTAATGAGGATGTCACGTCCGTCGTGTCGTACCATAAAATTGAGATGAATTTTTGCTCTCTCTCAATTACAGATATTATCGAATTTCAATATTGAAAGAAACGACCGTAATGTAACATCCTTAACTACAACCATTTCTTCGAATCTCTTACCTGGATTTTTTCATTCGACTGTTTATCTATGCGATTGTTTGATATCGTTTTATATAATTAGTGGGCTCTTAAGGGAGTCGGAGTGAAAGAGGTCGAAGGTAACATATTCTGGACGTCTTTTTGTGACGGTTTTTTTACAGGAGGGAATTGGCGGCTTGGATTCGTCGGAGAAGATCCATCAATGTCTTCTCAAACAAATCAGAATGCTTCCTTTCTCATCCATCTAACAATTGTCCCTAGCTCATGACCCTTCAAGGGAAACTGAATTAAATCGAATACCACACATAACCAATTCCGTACATATAAATCCAATGAGATACTCGAGAACATTGATGGTTACTTGAGCCGTTGCGTCACATTCGCCAGAGCAACGGAAAATGCTTGGAGCGCACTGAACGGGTACTGGAAATCCAAAGTGTAAGCATTTCCATCTATGCGTCCAAACTGCATAACCTAATGGAAAATGAACATGACATTATCACGGACACCGAAACGAGTCACTAAAACTAGCAATATATGTTCATTGTACCTGTTTTCCTCTGTATTCAATTTGGAAATTCTTAGCACTTTCTTGCGTAACGCGACCACCAAAATCAAGTTGATAAACTTGACTCGATTCGTTCCACATTGGAGCTTTATTATGCATCACGAGCTCCTCAGCCTTATGACCTGATGCACTGATTGCTTTTAGTTTCAACTGTAAAACAATAGAATTTAATGTACCGAGTGTTGCTGAAAACACGGTCAAATGTCTACTAGTTCAGCGATACATAATCAAATGGAGTGGAAACAAACAAAAGTGTAAATGGAGAATTTAACAACCTTTTGACGGAGTTGGGCTTTCTGGAAGGTTTCCAGATTTCTATAACTTTTTGGTGATTCATCCTGGCATTGGCCCTCATCATCGGAGCTCTCTCCCCGATTCTTTCTACTTCGCCTATTCAACAGTGGACTTGATAAAAGTTTGCGTCTGATAGGTGATGCTGAGGCCGGTCTTTTTTCTTTCTTGGATGGAGCAGGACTGCCTGGTGAACTACGTGGTAGTCTCGTGGTCAGGTGCGGGGAAAGTGGAGGTAAACTATGAGTATCACCGAAATCACGTAATCTTGCTGCGAGTCCATCCAATGACGATGATAACGAACCACTAAGTTTAGCTTCAACAAGGGAGTATACATCGTCTTTTCTTTTTTCCGTTTCACCGTCTTGATAAACCTGATGAATTGCTTCATGAGAAACATTTTCTAATACCTCTGGCATTTGACGTGAGGTTTCTTCCACATGATGCGGAAGCTGGGGCGGAAGAGAAATAAGCTCGGTGCTTGGAAACACATCACTGGAATCTAAACTTTTAGATTTTCCGCATGTTTTCAGTTTCAATTTCATACACTGTTGACCAATCTCATATCCGTCATTTTTCCTTCTCTTTCTAGTTTTCTGAGACACTAATACAAGTCGTTTATTTGGAGCATCTTTCCGCAACATCTTCAATGCAATCTCACAGGGTATCATTGGAGTATCCACCAGATCTAAGTAACCAACACTGCAACTTCTAATGATAGGATCTAACGGTGGACACATTGGGCCAATGCTAATAACCGTCGAGGTACGACCTACTCCAGTAGTTTGCATGAAATCGGTTTCCCTTGACTCTTCATCGATGAACTTCAAGTCTTCATTCTTCTGTGATGTTACAGTGAATTGATACATCGAATTACAATTCGATTTTCCGCAGCACCCAGTAATTTTATTATCTTTCCGTTTGTTCGAGGGACACTCACTATACGTAGAGCAATAATTTCCAGTGACTTGTTGACGTGAACTTGGAGGTGAATTCAAGCTACTAGGAGGACCACGTATATTTTTTGAGAAATTATTGGGCGCTGAACATAATTGAGAATTGGATGAGGAAGCATTCAAATGAGATATCAAACATCCTGATTTCTGATTATTTTTCATATTGATATAGTGTGCGTTATAATTCGGCAGCACTGAACCCGAAACACTTGAGGAATTCCGGTGAATTTGTTGAGGTGGAGAACTGTGGCTCGTAATCATCGAACTTTGCCGTAAAGCACTATTCTGTCCATTCTGAAGGGATGTAGAAATAATATCGGCGGGACAGCTAGCTAAAGTTACTTTGTCCTCAGCTTGATTAATTTTATTATTTCCTGATTCTTTTCTGATCATGTGTTGATCAGCGAGTGTAGTTTTCACTCTTTGAATATTATTAGAATAATCTGTATTGGAATTAGAAGTTGCTATCAATGTTTGGGTTGGAGCAACGGAATTTTTAGGCGACTGTAAAGTGGGGACATCACAACACCGAGGCGGATGATGTTTAGACGTTTTAAAACTGCTGGAAGGTGTGCGAACGTTTTCACCTATATCCATCACTTCTTGAACATCGATATATGAAAAATCATCATAAGTGTCAGCTTGCGCTACTACAGGTGACATAAGTGGATCTGGCGTAATATATTGACTAGAGTTTTGAGATTTTGGGCGATTTATGTTCACCCGACCATTTCGTGGTGTCATAGGGGCTATGAGTGGCGGTGCTGCTTCAGACGATTTCCTTGATATACTATGACTGGCTTGAAATGATTCTTCCTCATCTTCAGAAAAGAGATTCGGATTGAAACTAGGATCTGGACCTGCAGGCAAATCGTCCCGTAATTCTGTCATCACTAAAGTCATTTGTCGTGGTTGTAGATGTAATAGTGAAGTTCGATATGTCACTTGCCCTAAATTGGCAGGAACTGAATCTGTTAGACCGTGAATTTTGAATTTGGTTCCCCAAATATTTGATGTAACTTCCACCAGTCTCGCGTGTTCAGGTAAAGTGTCTATATATTTCAAATCATCAGTCTCATCATTTGTTCTATCGTCTCGCTTCCTGTGATGTTTTCGCTTAATCCTTGGTGAACCATACGCATCTCCTATATCTTTTTCTGTGTCAGAGCCATCACTAAAAAAAGGCAATTGATACGTATAATCAACCGTGTGTACATTGTCTTGATTCTGCGGATCAAAGATAACAAATTCCGGTCGAATTTTGCTTGTGCGACGACCTTTTAGAAGTGGCACCAGACCACCAAGGTATTCCAGATAAAGTGTGTAGCAAGGAGCTGGCTCACCGGCATGTCGGAGCATTGTACAGTGGAGTCTACCACCTGTGCTTGGTGGTCGAGAAATAAACTTTCTCAATTCTTGTGCCTCAGGTACACATGATCTATTTTGAAGGAAAGGACATAAGTTGAAAAATAAATTCGTACTGGGAATATTTCAAATGACCATGAATGAGAATATTTCAAATTACCGTATTGTATTAGCGAAAAGAGCTACAACCAAAGCCCGTAGTCTTGGAGGTAAAGGAAGTTGTTCAACGCTTGATTCATGTATTAGAGCTGCTCTCACAGCCAATCTAGAGAGCAGTTGAAGTGATCCAACACGTCTAGAATGAAATGAAGGAGTATTACATTTTTTGAGTGAGAACGTGTGTGAATACTGTGTTAATGCTGTGAGAAATTACAGGAGTGGTTACGCTAATTACGCTAATTATTGATACAATTTTGAACCTTAAAAAGTTTATCGTGTAGATCTTAGTTGGTTTTATCAAAATCTGGAAGGCCCAAATTATTTTGTTACAATTTTCTGTTGAATTTTATTTTCTGTTCAATTCATTCCTTTATTACATCGTATTATGAAGCGTTGTTACAATAGGATCACAGAAAATCCGATCTATGTTCAATTAAAATGATGTCAGACAATATAATGAACATTTGTTTGAACAAAAAAAACTGGAATTCATTAATACGATCAATAAGGACGTGAAATTATAGAATTAAGGTTATGGACGAGTTTCACAAAGACACAGTATGCTATACAATGGTTTTCCTTATTTTCATTGCTTCTCCCAAGAAGAGAAAAAGTTTTCCCATATTATCGAGGTTGATTGTTTTCAGAGATTGACGAAAGGATTGACTGATCAGGCTGAATTTTTCATGTTAATGATTACGATCCTTGTCAAAAGTATAGTCCGCAACAGTGTAGAATTATTATACATCTTCACGAAAAAACATCGCACGACTGTGGAGCCAATTTCATTTGTTGGATTGAATATTACTCTACTCTAATGCGGAGTTTCATTTTTTTAATCCAATAGTTTGTGCGTTATTATGATGAGAAGATGAAAAATTGCATATTTTTCATGCGCCGTGAGAATTAATGAACTTTGACTGAGTCTCAGGACCTTAATTTTTTTCCAAAAACTATCTCCATCTTTTACTTTAAGAACGGTTTGTTTAAACGAAAATTTCATTTTTTGAACAATTATTAGTTTTTTAAATACACATATCTCCTGCGGGTATCTCCAATGAGAAATCACCAATTGGAATGAAAAAAATGGCAATTGACGGGCAATGAAATATTTGATATTTCTATGTAAATATTCCAAACAAAACACTCAAATTTATAATAATCGTTAGAATTTTTCGGAAAAGATTTTATTATTCTAAATGCATCCCATTACCATTTTACGACAGTGTTTCCTCTCGATTTGGGAAAATACTTTCCATATCTGCACTTTGCTACGTTCTCCAGGGCCGGACCAGGCAACCCTGGAGCCTTAAGCAAAATATTTATAATTTATTGATTTTTCTCAAAATTTATAACTTGTAAAGATATTTCCCCGGGTTGTTCAGCCAGGAAAAATCCAAACCACTTGTTAGCCTCTTCTATTGCTCATATGTATAGGGCGCCAGCTATACCTTTACGAAAGGTTCGACGAAAACCGACCGTTGAGGAAATCTCGTCTAGTCAGAGGACTTTTGTGGCAGAATAATGGATTGGCCTCCTAAAATCAGCGTGACACAGTAGAGTGGGCGGGACCCACCAGGGGTATTCCCATCACATCCTCACGAGCCTTTTCAAACCATGTATTATACCTTGTGACATAATTATCCGAGTGAATTTAATACACATCAGTTCTGGAAGATCTCGCGACTCCTCCAGCATGCTTTCTCCTCCCGAGTATTTCTACTCGGGGGAGTTTCAGAGTTATTTGCGAATTAACCGGGACTCTTCAGAGCCTGGGACGTCGATAGGCTGATCCGACCAGAGTGGAACTACGTTACTCACGTTAAGACCACCCACACCCTGGACCACCAGTTACCGCTTCCGTCAACGCGAGCCACTATTCTCAGTTACTAAAGGTATCGGTGCATGGTCGGGTCAACAGGAGCACTACTCACCTCCAGGCCCACTGGCCCATACGCCTTCATTTCATTCAAGCCGGGTCCGAATAACGCCGATCACTACGAAGTTGTTTTTTCGAGGACCGAAATAACTTGTAACGTGACATTTTTCATGGGGGTTAAAATGGCTATTACCTTCGCCCTTCTTCCCTTGAATCTAGTTAAACTCAAAAATGCAGAAATCTATGGGCACCAGGTCATTTTTAACCGGAATTACCAAACCGGAGGAATCTACAAAATCAACTCTACTAATTCGAAAAACTCTAAAACGTACAAAAAAAGGGAGAAAACTAGATTTTTGGGGAAAGGTAACGGTCCTTGGTTCGCTCAGTGTGCTAGGTTGTGGAGAGAGGGGTGGATTTCAGGTGGAAACGGGTAATAGGGCGGTCAAAACTACAAAACAGCAAAAAAAAAAGGAGATCGACATTATCCTTACTGGTTTCACTATTGAAATTTAAGAATCACCAATTTTACAAAAAAAAAGACATTTCAATTCACTCAAAAAAAAAAAAAGAAAAATCCACAATTAATAACTAACAATGCTGACAATAATAATAATCATAATATTAATTCCGCACTCTGATAGAAAATAGTCTAATCTGACAAAAAATATTTGAAGAAATTAATATCGTCGATAAATACCTCAAATATGCCGAAATAAACATTTGGGGAGGGTAAAAATACACGCTANGCCGAAATAAACATTTGGGGAGAGTAGAAATACACGCTAATCCCTAAATACTCGAGAATTCCGAGAATTGGGAGGAAAGGTATGCGAGCGACAATGAGAGCGAGAGAGAGGAGACCGTATTCATCCATCGGTTTTTCATACCAGCCAAAACGGCTAAAATTCCGCAACACTCAACTTGCCCTAACTCGAAAATGGCAGAGTCAAAAATTACGAACCCTGAGATAAAATGTCCGGGAGAGTCTACCGAAGACTACCATGCCCAAAAAAATAATTTTCCGTAACTAATTAGCCGCCTCAGATTAATTAATCCCCGAGCGGAATTCTAAACGCAAAAGTGCTCGCGTGAAGCGAGAATAGCCACGTGTAAACGTGGATGGGTATCTGAGGGGAGTCGAGAGGGGGGCGGGATTCCCCCTCGAGAAACACACGGTGTACACGCCAGCGAGAATGGGCTGGAAATCCGTAAAAACCAAAAATGGAATATCCGAAAATCGGCAGAGCGAATTTGCGGAAACCCTGAGACAAATTACTCAGGGAACCCCCCCCCCCCCCCGAACACATTGATCTACAAAGCATAATTTTAATTAACTATCTACGCGAACCCACTCAATTTGAACACGAGTGGAATTTCTTACGCGCGAAAACCCACGTGTAACGGGAATGGACGCGCTCTAGCAATTCAACGTGATTAATTATCCCCTCCGGAGGAATTTTTCTTCGGTAGATTCGCATAAAAGATCTTTAACCAACGTAATAAGCCGACGCACAGTGTGATCGGAGCCGGGTTTGAGCCGGAAATAACCCCAAAGAGGGGAGAAATCCCCTCGAATAACCCACCAAAAAATCACGAAAACCACGCAATCATGAGTGAAAAAGGAAGGGATTGGCACCTCACAATTTGGATTATGCGTCACAATCACCGTTTTAACGGAATAAAATGCGACGTACGGGGCTGAAGACCCCGTAGTCGAATAACTAAAAGCCGAAATGAATTCGGAAAAATAAATAAACCGAACTAAAAACTAACTTTGGGTTTTTTACCCCTCTTTGGGGTATTCTTCGCCATCGGGTAGATACAATAATTCAAATGTGGGCACTATAATCCTAGGATAGGCACTGTACTGGCACTAGTTCCGGTGAGGTCAAGGGTCAACGCCGAACTGCCGAACTCACGAGCGTCTCGAGACACCTCAGAGCGCGGAATTCACCGCTCAATCACCCGAATTTTGATTGGTGCGGACACGCCCCTCGAAGGTGCGAATCTAACGACAATTAATCGCGACTCTCACGACCTGGCGCGATTATTCAAATCTCACCTAACTCTTCTCTAATCACCTAACACAAAACTAGTTCCTTTTTATTAATTATTACGCGAGACTAGGCCGAACTGATTGTCGTTCGGATAATTACGAAGGGTCTTTGGCGCTTCCCACGGATCGGATCTCCGGGATTTTCGGGGTTAAAAGGCAAGTTACCGGCAATTGTTATTACTCCACTACTAATTGCTTCTCAACTCGTTTCTCTCATCGAAAACCCAAAGGCAACCTGGCGATTCGTTGGAGACGATGGTTGCACACGCTCCGAACGACCTTCCA